AACGTTGTCCCTGTGTCACCGCAGACACTGGTATCGCTACCATAGTCCACCTCTTCCTCTATTCCGAGGTAGTCACACAGAGCCTTTGACTCGTTTGGTGATGAGGACATCGTGCTGGAGCGTACGTTACCGTGAGGTTCACCGTACGCGCACTGTTCTCGCTGAGAACACGAGTTCGATTGACGTTTTGGCAAACGTCAGTCTGGTGGGGGAGGGTGTAACGGGGTTGCACGAAATCATGGTACTTTGTACCAGAGGTGTTACACACCTGAGGGTTCGCTTCTGTGAAGGTGATATAGAATATCTTATCGGTTTGTAGGGGCTGACGAGTGTCAGCCATTAGATACGAAAGATCTTTGAGTAGGATTAAGATATTCTATAGGCTTTAACAAAAATAAAATCAGTTCCCATTTTGATCTGAAAGACACGTGGCTTGCGAGCCGTCTTGATCGTTGATCTCTGATCACTAAGAGTTAGCGACACCTCCTTGAGGTAGCTACTCTTGAGCACTAAGTGCTGTCGATTCACTGAATCGTTAGGTCCCCTGGAACAGGGATCTGAAGCTATAAAGCTTGTTGACTCGTAAAGTCGTTAGTTCTTTAGAACTAAGTTGCTCGTAGAGCGTTAAGTCTTCCTCTGACTTAAGGAGCTGTGTAGCTCCGCTACATTAACTATTATAAATACAGTTCTACTTTTTACTCTAACCAAGTACTCGCTTCTTCTTACCGTCTTCCTCTGCACGTACGAGTGTACGTGAAGTTACGAGGCACCGCCTTATTCTGTCATCAGAATAAGTAGCTTGTACTGTCACCAGTACAAGATTCAGGGTGCCCCGTTACACCTGGTAGCACTTCGTAGTCCGTCCAAGGACCACGTTCACATCTAACATGAATATGTTGGATGATGAAGATGACCAAAGCTTTCACGCTACGCGTGACGGCCACTCCCATTTGAGCGATGTCGAATGGGATGCGGTTGAACGAATGGGTTCAACCATGGGCATCCATGCTGTTAGCGTCATGCTAGAGGCTCTCAATAGAGATGCCCAACATGCTACTATCGCCAAGTTCATTCAAAATGAACTTGACGCAGAACGCGATAAAGTAGCCTTGCTTCACCAACAAGGTTCTCAACAAGCAGAGTTGTTGAGAGAACAGGGTGCTCAACAGTTTGAACTGTTGAGACAGCAGCAGGCTGCTGCTGGCGGGTCGATGCACTCGCGTCGACCCGAGACTTTGAAGATTGACATCTCCAAGTATAGGGGAGTCGAAGAGGACTCCCTCTTGAGATGGTTCGTCGAATTGGATGACGCCATCAGGGCGCGTCGCATCGACGACGGGGATATGCAAGTTGCATTTGCCCAGTCAAATCTGGCAGGACGTGCCAAGACTTGGGCACTGGGGCTCAAGTTGCACGACCCATATGCGTTTGGGTCGTTAGAAGTCTTCAAGTCGCGGCTCAGACAAACGTTTAAACCGCCTAGAGCTGAGTTCAGAGCTCGAAACGAACTCTTGAAGCTCAAACAAGGTAAGCGTGACGTGCACGCTTACGCGCAACATATACGACATCTCACGAGTTGTATAAGTTCCAATCCGGTTGATGAACACACGTAGGTTTCGGTGTTCATGCAGGGTCTTGCTGACGGTCCCGTCAAGACTCACCTGTTCCGACTTGAACTAGATTCAATTGAACAAGCCATTTCCATTGCGGAACAGGAAGACTTCAGTCTGAGACAGGCTCGCGCCAGCTCGACATCATATCGTCAACCGAGACGATATGACAGCGGAGGTCCAGAGCCGATGGAACTCTATGTAGAGAGAGAAAGCTCGCTCTACAGACTACAAGAGGTTGCAGAAATGCAACAGATGTCAAAAGACAGGACACTACGCTTACGAGTGTAGTGCCCCTCGTCCAGTGTCTCGCAACACTGGGCGTAGTGACCGTCCACCCATGAGAAAGGGGCAGGGACGCGGGTCCGCTATTGGTGCAAAGTTGCAACAACGGGATGGACCGTCAAAAAACGGACAGGATCAGTAGGTGCGGAGCACCCTACTGGTCCAGCAACGTCAAGAGAATTGGTGGGCCTCTTGATGAAGGTTGCTCCCAACACACAAACGTTGTGCGTTGCTGCTCTAGGTAATGAGATCTCACTCATTACCTTGAAACTCGAAGTGACGAATAAGTTGTCCCTTCGAGCTCTAGTCGATTGTGGGGCGTCCAACAATTTTGTGCGACGCCAATCGCTAGAAGATGGTCACTTTAATTTCAGTGAATGTGATACACCTCCTACGAGGATGACGGTACGTCTTGCGACAGGCGCATCCGTAACCGTCATGAAGCGTATAGTGAAGATTCACTATACGCTAGAAGATACCCAATACGACGATGACTTTATCGTATTGGATTTGGATGACAAATTTGATGTCATCCTTGGAATACCGTGGCTCAGAAGGTACGAACCACGGGTAAACTGGCAACATCGAACAGTAACGATGCCTGCCGCTTGTTCATCAGATGGCCATCTGATGAACGTTTTGGAGCGTCCACAAGCGTGTGGATGTACTACGAGTGAGTGCGATGGCCTCACTTGTGGTACGGTCGTTAGTACAACTGCACAAAACCTTAGTGTACCAAACGGTTACACTTCGGAGCAAAGTTCCGGCGGCTGTGAGGAAACACAGGCTGCGCCGAAGGTCCACCACTCGAATAAGTCGGGTGGACTGGGACAAAGATGTATCCCTAGCGGGGAACATCTAGAAGAGAAACAATCGATCGCTCAGGTTAAGCGAAACGATAATCCTAGATCGACTGGAGAGTCTTTCGTAGAGGATCTCGCTGTGGTTGCGCAACCCCAGCTAGAGGAAGTAAAGGGAATAAGTCCCAAGATTACAAATACGGCGGAAATAAGTTCCCCGAAACCCGCGGGAATAAGTCCCCGGGAAGCCGAAGGAATAAGTCCTTCGAAGCCTGAGGGAATAAGTCCCCAGGAAATGACAGAGACATTGAATGTCATAGTCAATAACGGATCATGTGTAGGCGCTTATACACTTGATCTGATTGCGCCTCCGAAGTTGACTTCGGAGATCACTCAGTTGCCAACGCTCGAACTTAAAAGGTTCTTGCGTGATCTGCGTAGTGGCAAAGTCAAGCAGATCTGCGTACTCGTCGCTGAAGACGATTGTGTAACCGACATAAGGTCAGCAACAGTGTTTACTGAGAACGAGAGAGTTCTCAGTAGTTCATCTATGGACGAGAGTGTCCTAGATGAAAAGACACGAATTGAGCGATATGACTCCCAATCGTGGGAATCGCTCAAGGAAAATCCTCTCTATGAAGATTTGGTTGAATTCAAGGATGTATTCCCTACAACTGTTCCGTGCGAATTACCGAAGGATAAAGGTATTCGACACGAGGTCGAGCTTAAACCAGGCTCGGAGTACTGTGTCATGAAGCAGTGGCCACTGCCTCGTGAACGAGTACTTGCGATCGACAAGCTCTTTGCCGACCGTTTAGCTGCGGGCCACGTGAGGGGATCAACTTCCCCACATAGCTCTCCGACCTTCTGTGTGCAAAAAGCAACAGGAGGGTGGCGGATAGTGCACGCGTTCAACAAAGTGAACGCTGCAACGGTACCGGCTCAGACGCCGATACCGAGGAAGGACGTAATCATTGATGGTATGTCAAAGAGTACCATCTTTTCGTCCATGGATTTGATGGATGGCTTCTATCAAATCCTAATGCGGGAACGGGATATACCCTATACCGCAGTTAGCACGCCTAGCGGCATGCTCTGGGAATGGCTAGTAATGCCACAAGGGCTTAGTAATGCCCCTGCCACGTTCAACAGATGTGTATCACATCTGTTGAGACCAGTACGAGAATTCGCGCCGAGTTATTTCGATGACGTATTCATCCATAGTCGAGCTATGGATGGAAAGTCGGACGTTGAGGTTCACAGGTACCACGTCCGACAGGTTCTTACAATCATGCGAAAGCATCAATTGTATGCAAACCTCAAGAAGTGTATATTTGCAGCAAGCAAAATACCACTTCTTGGGTGCATCGTTGGTAAGAACGGTGTACGTCCTGATCCCGAAAAGATCAAGGCGATCACCGACTGGCCTGTGCCGGTTGACGTCAAAGGCCTTCGAAAATTCCTTGGGCTAGCGGCGTATTTGCACAAGTATTCACGCAATTACGCCGAGATGACTGTACACCTCTCTCGTTTGTTGAAAAAGAACGAGAGGTGGTTATGGAACGCTGAATGTCAGCGCTCCTTTGATGTTATCAAGCAGAGCTTGATACAATCCCCAGTCCTAGCAATAGCCGATCAGGACAGGCCATTTCATGTGGTCTGTGATGCCAGCGATTTCGCAATCGGCTGTGCATTAATGCAGTACGATCTTGAAGGCGTTGAACGCGTCGTCTGCTATCAGTCGCGTCAGCTGCAACCAGCTGAGCGGAACTATCCAGTGCATGACAAGGAACTCCTTGCCATGAAGTATGCACTCGCGAAGTTCAGAGTCTATCTATTAGGAGATAGACCCTTCATTGTTTACACTGACCATGCGTCATTACGCACGGCAGTGAACAGCCCGCACCTTTCACAACGAATGGCGCGGTGGTTGTCATTCTTTGCAGAATACAACTTTACGGTCGAGTACAAACCAGGACGACTTAATGTCGTCGCTGATGCACTCTCACGTCGTCCCGACTTTGAAACAGTCGTGAAACCCAACAGTGAGACAGTCACTGTTGCGGTTATGACGTCCTCAGTTCCATCTACAACGTTGTATGATGATGTGAGGCGGGCATACGCCCAAGATGGTGAGATAGTGAAGTTGTTGTCACATCTCTCCCAACCATCTCGAGAATCGTTGAAACGATTGTCGCCTGCGTATCGATCTGCATCAGATCGATACACTACTCGTAACGGTTTACTGTATTATACAGCCGTTTCTGGTGACACACCACGTGTTGTCATTCCAGATGATACTGATCTGCGTTTGGGGATCATGTTCGAGCATCACGATGCTCCTATACGAGGACATCGTGGCCGGGAGAAAACATATCTCACGGTGAGTCGAGACTTTTACTGGCCCCGCCAGTATCAGTTTGTCCGAAAGTATGTTCGCGCATGCGAAGTCTGCCAACGAGTGAAGTCAAGTCCTTCACTGCGTGCACCTTTACAGCCTCTACCGGTTCCGGCTGAGTGCTGGGAATCCATCTCAATGGATTTCGTCTTCGGGTTACCCAAAGACGCACGCGGGAATACGGGTATTCTCGTATTTGTTGACAGATTCAGCAAAATGGTACACCTTGTGGCTGTACCAGAGACAATCACGGCAAGTGGCTGTGCTTGTGTCTTTATTGACACCATCTTCCGACTTCATGGGTTGCCCCGTGAACTCGTATCAGACAGAGATCCACGATTCACTGCTGATTTCTGGCGTTCCGTGTTCAAATCACTCGGAACGCGCTTGAAGATGTCAACATCTGATCATCCAGAGTCAGATGGTCAGACGGAACGTGCCAATCGTGTCCTTGAAGAGATACTTCGAGGATACGTACACTCCTTTAAGAGTTGGAGTGAGTTTTTGCCGATGGTAGAGTTTGCCATTAACAACTCGGTGCATGCGTCCACGACACATACACCGTTTTACGTGAATGGCTTGCGCCATCCGCGTGTACCCACCTTACTAGAGTGTAACTCTGGTTTAAGGGGGGAGGGACTCGCGCGAGCAAAAACCGATTTGGTTCACGCTCATCACGCTCTGACGAAGAAGTCATTGCGTTTGATGCCGATATCGATAACATCGATATCGAAGAAGATGATGCCAGTGAGAGTGCGGAAGCCCTCACTGAAGAAAAGGTTGATGTTGCTGCAGTGCGCTCACAGCGCACTGAAGCTAACGAGTCATCAGATGAGTTCATACTGGCTCGTGAAACGGTAGTCCGTTTTGTGCAAGATTCCATCGCCGAAGCGGTGGATAAGCAAAAGCAAAACGCTGACAAGAATGGAAGGGCAAACACTCTTTTATTTAATAAAGGTGACTTAGTCCTACTGTCTACGGTTAATCTACCAAAGCATGTAGTGACTAACTTGGGTAGCAGTAAACTACTACCCAAGTACATTGGCCCATTTCGTGTATTGCACCGTCTAGGCAATGCATACACGATCGAGTTGCCACGTAAGATGCGAACGCATCCCACGTTTTACGTTGGTCGGCTTAAGCCGTACCATCAGTACGCTGCTTCTTCCGATGAAGAACGCCCTTGCGCTCAAGCAACTCGCAGAGAGCCTTGTGCTCCCGATGGTGAGCATCGACAAGGGTCTGAAGAGCAGTTATCTCATCCCGAGACCGATCAACAATCCCACGAGCTACCCTTAGATCGTCACGCAGAGATGTCAGAGATCTCTCGTTCTCAAGCTGAGCTAGGGCAAACTCAGCCCGATGCTTCGAGACAGTGTCCGCCATTTGGAGACGCCTGTCCCGCTCATGTTCGAGATCGCCGCGTAACCCTTGCGTTACGCGATCAAAGAAGCTCTCGGGAACACACCGATCCACATGATCGTGTGGAGAGCGTCTTTCCTCCTCCTCCACCTCCATTAGAGGACTCTCGCGGTGGCCAGCGCTATCTAGTAGAGCAGCTGTTGAACCACCGCGACGTGAACGGACGTCGGACGAGTTACCTCGTCCGGTGGCGCGGCTATCCCCCGTCCTGGGATTCTTGGGAGCCCCGCTCCCAATTGATGGTTGACGTACTGGGTCTGGTCGAGCAGTACGACGCGACACATCCTGTGCCGCAGAAGGACCGCCGGAGAAAGTCTTCCCGGCACGGTCGTAAAGGGATTTCAGGTTGTCAATCCCTTCGTACATCTCAGTAGAGATACGTACGCGCCACCACGGGCTAGTAAGGAGGTAATCCTCCTTAGGTGCTCGTGCAGAGTTGTTTACACAACATGGGCACGATTCTCCCCAAGAGAGGCAGGGTAACCCTTTCTCCCTAGACAGACGATGCAGCTTGTAGCGTGCACCTGTCGGGGTTCGCTTTTCAAACTTATCACGAGCTTTGATAAGTTTGTCGTTCCAAGCGTCACGGCCTTCATCCTCAAGGTTATGGATGTAGGCGTTCCACGCCTGAAGCAGTGAGGGACCATCACGCTTGTGATTCCCACTGTACCATCGATGTTTGAAGAAAGAATCGATGAAGAATTCATTCTCAGCGCGATAGTTTTTCGCAATGGGGTCAAGGTGATGGATCCTTGACGAATCGAACAATCGTGTTCGATAACGATCACTCGTCGTCGCCGACAAGTGATCCATGACGGATTTAGGAGGCATCCATGCCTTCTTCTCAGGTGCGAGACGCAAGACATTGCGGTCCCGCTCTTCCTGCGATGTGCCGACAGAAGTACTGGCACCTCGTTGCGAAGTGGTTTCAATAGGAGAACTGACACCACTGTTAGCGCCCGAGTCTCGCGACCTCGAGCGCCTTCGCTTCGGCGATGGTTCATCTGATTCATCAGATGAACCAAAGATGCTACGACGCATAGCATCATCCATGCCACGCTTGGCAGGCGGCTTGGATTCGATCGCCGTCGATACGGATCCGTCTTCCGTATCAGGAGAGTATGAGACACCGAGCTCATACTCTGTGAAGACATGAGTGTCTTCATGACCAGCGCCTACATCACCAAGTGACACAGGCTGAGTCGCTTCAGCAACCGATGAGACATCAGTTGCTGTGGATGAGACATTAGTTGCTGTGGTTTCTGCTTCGGCGTCCGCACAGAGACGTGCGGACGCGCTCTCGGAAGCCTTGCTCGCGCATCACATGGGCTTGTTAACCATGCGATGAAATGTAGGAAAGTGGACTCGGACCAACAAGTGCAAACCCTGTCCCAAATGATTTGGGACGAGTATCCATTTAGTCAATCAGTCACTAAAGTGACTGATGGTTAAGGGGGGTGATGTAACGGGGTGAATCGTTACATAACAATTTATAAGAAATTGTTAATAGAATATAACTATAAGAGTTATATTCTCAGAATATTGTCATAAGGACAATATTCTGTAGCACTTCCAAGTAGTTCCTAATTGGTTGATACAGGCCATTATGTCAACCAACGAAGACGCGCCACGACAGACGCACGCAATGAGTGGTGGGCAGATATTTGATTTACACATTTGTATTTAGACATAGTTAGATGAAGATCAATAGTGATTTATTGCAGACATTAACTATTATAAATACAGTTCTACTTTTTACTCTAACCAAGTACTCGCTTCTTCTTACCGTCTTCCTCTGCACGTACGAGTGTACGTGAAGTTACGAGGCACCGCCTTATTCTGTCATCAGAATAAGTAGCTTGTACTGTCACCAGTACAAGATTCAGGGTGCCCCGTTACACACGTCACACGTAAAGGCTACTCCCGTCTGAGTGACTCAGAATGGGAGGTAGTCGGCCGCATGAGTGCGCTAAGGGGCGAAACCGCCATCAGTGGCATGTTGGAGTCTCCAAGCAGAGACCAGCAACATGCTGCCATCAACATACAAAGGTAACTTGCTATGAAACACAGAAGATAGCCTTGCTTCACCAGCAAGGCTCTCATCAGTCTATGGGCGGGCCGACGCGCGTGCGTCGACTTGGAACCTTGAAGATTGACATCTCAAGGTACAAGGGAACCGATGAAGGTTCCCTTTTGAGGTGGTTCGTCGAGTTAGACGATGCCATCAGGGCCCGTCGCATCGAGGGTGACGAGATGCAAGTCACCTTCGCCCTGTATAATTTGACAGGACGAGCAAAGACTTGGGCCTTAGGGGTCAAGCTTCACGATCCAAACGTGTTTAAGTCGTTAGATTTCTTGAACTCTCGGCTCGAAGAGACGTTTGAGCCGCCGAGAGCCGAGTTCAAAGCACGCTCTGCACTCTTGAGGCTCAAGCAAGGTAAGCGTGATGAGCATGCTTACGCACAACACCTGCACTACCTTGCGAGCAGCGTCATGGAAAACCCGATTGATGAGCACATGCTCAGCAAGGTTTTCATCTACGGCATCGTAGATGGGCCGGTGAAGATCCACATGTTCGAGAGAACTTTCATACGCTTAAAAGGCGATAGCGTATGCGGAACAAGAGGAATTTAGCCTGAGACATTCTTGAGGCTAACTAATCAAACTATCGTCTGACGAGACGACAGGAAACATGATTTCTCGAACCAATGGACCTCTGTAACATCGAGAGCGAGAATTCTTGCTCTCTGAGTCACAAGCGAGTGGCAAGATGCCATCGCTCTCAGAATACCGGACACTACGCTCGTGATTGTAGCGTCCCAATCACCGCATCACGTCCAGAGACAGGACGTGATGACCCCCGTTGGCCGAGGAAAGGTCTGAGGCGCGGGTCCGACCATGTCGCTAAGTCGCGACAGCTAGTCGGACCGTCAAATAACGGAAAGGGTCAGTAGGGGCGGAGCTCCCTGCTGATCCAGCAACGTCAAGAAAATTTGCAGGACTCTTGACGAACAATCGCTCCCAACACGCAATCGCTGTGTGTTACTGCCCTTAGTGATGAGCTGTCCCTCATCACGTCAAGGGTCGAAGTGACAAGTGAAATATGGTGTTTTAGTTACCGCTAATTTCTTGAGACGATCCCGACTTTCCACTGGCGCCCGGACGACCGACTAACGTAGAGGGTACTCTTATTTCGTGTATATGCTTTCATCACCTTGTGTACCCGCAGGTAGGGCGGGTTGCACTCTTTCAGGTGGAATCGTGTCGAGGGAAAACTTGATCGTGTTGAAGATAGGTTTGTGTAATCGGGCGGAAATCTTCGCGCGATCACTAGGGTATCAGTGGGGTACTGGTAGAAGTTACCCTGATATCAACAAGATCGCCTTGCACACTGTGTGGGTTCTTGACACGCGAGCCCTCTGACCACACGAGCTTTCTCGCGATCTTGTGCCTTGAATTTACGTGTTTTGATGCGTCAATCGCAGTTTCGGATACCTGAGAATTCTTGAACGCATCTGGCCAAACAATCCAGGTGCGACACTTATATGAACGCGTAGCGCGACTCTTTATTCGTCGGGAGGCCAAAGATCCTGCCCGGAAGAGATTGCGTGCGTCTTCTGAAGTAAATTGGATTCTCTTAAATGCTAACCAATTAACCTATAACCTACCCCTCTGACTTACCCGTAGATCCTAAACGGATTCCACTCGATCTTGGTTTAGGAAGATTGTCCTCTCGTATAGGTGTGGCCTACATTAGGTGTATCGGCAGTCGAATCTTCTTGTTGTCCACCCGAGATATCACCACTAATCTACCTCGGGTCGTGATCTTAGGTCCTGGTCGTGATCTTAGGTCCGAAACGCGGTCCTAGGTCCGGATCGTGATCCTGTATCCGGATCGTGATCTTAGGTTCGGAACGCGGTCCTAGGTCCGACTCGTGATACTAAGCCAGGATCGTGATCTTCAGATGAGGGGTCACAAATGCATCCTTGCCTTGTATCACAATGAATCATGTGGTGGAGTGGCGATCTCTCATTTCCTGAGACGATCCCGACTCTCCTTTGGCGCACGGACGACCGACTAACGGAGGAGGTACCCCGATTCCGTGTCCTGTATCTTCGTGCTCACCTTGTATACCCGTCGGTGGGTAGGTTCATTTCTACCCGGGGAAGTTGAGCTGAAGCTAAACATGACCGTCTTAGGGATAAGTGTTGATCGAGTGGAAATACTTCACCCAATCGAGGGTGGTGATGGATCGCGTGGAAATTCTTCACTCGATCGCTTGTAACTTGGGCGCTCTCCCAAAGTCGCCTTTGCCAGGGGTGATGCTTGTTACGCGAGCTTCTGACCACTTGGGCCGTCTCGCGATCTTGAATCTGAACCGTAAGGTTCAGTGCGTCCTATCGCAGTTGAGAGGGGGGGTGAGAATTGACCTTCCTACTGGCCAAACAATTCAAGGGCGAAGTTCACTTAAGACGTGGGTGAATCCCTTTTCAACGGGAGGCCAAAGATCGTACTTGGGGGAAGTCGACGCGCGTCTTTCGTTGCAAATTCGATTCTGTTTAATGTCAACCTACCAAACCTAAAACTTATGACTATGCCTATCCGTTCGCTAGGTCGGCTGCTATGGCATTCACCTCTTACATCCTGTGGTCCACAGCAGATAATCCATAGTGGATCGCCCCATACCGGATCGTTTAGTACCGGATCGTAGGGTACCGAGCGCGAAGTACCGGATCGCAAAGTTCCGGATCGCGGAGTACCGGAACGAGGAGTACCGGATCGAGGAGTCCCGGAACGCGGTATGCGATCCACGGCGGGTAAGTCATCTACCTCGATCACCATGACACACTCCGCTTGACCTTTACCATTCTTGACCGTTAAGTGGGTTACTCTGCATCATTTCCACAGTCATTTCCTGTCACTCAGCCGTGCGACACCATCATCCATGCCAACGGGCCCATCTCCGCACGCGCTCCACCAATCAAACTAACTTGCGTACTTAAGGCGGATCGCGCGATCTACACTTCCGTCATCCTTCCTTTGCGCTTCTCCACAATCGTCCCCTGCACCGATGCTCGATATACAGTGTCGATGGACAGTGCACCCACACCGCCCATGGCTCATGCATCACATGCACTTCTCACATTGGAGGCCGATCGCCCGATTTCGCCTTCTGCTCCGCCGCCGGGTCCACCCGTTTTAAGGCCAGTTGTGTTGCCGTCGTCTCGGGTGAGCACTGCATCCTTGTTGAATTGTGATACTTTGACTGAGGGGATCGCAGCGCTCTACGGTCAACTGGATCTTAATGCCGCGGTTGTTACAGACTACCACTCGTTGGAAGGAGTTATGTCGGGACCAGAAACTGCAGATCGACCGACTGCAAACGCAGTTGCAATCGTACGTCAAGATATCCATGCGCTTGGCAACCTATGTCCAACAGCACTATCTCGGCCTCTGGACGGATCGCCAAGATATGATCAAGAGGTTGCACAGGTTACAGACGAAGCTGGCGCGGCGCTTGGGTCAAGATCACGTGGTCCGAGAACTCAAGACGGCTCTCTCAGAAGCCGAAAAGAAGTTTAAACAAATCGAGGATCTGCGCACTCGTGAATCATCCGCCGTTTAACAGCAAGTGGAAGTGATGAATTCGCGCCTGGCTGCTGCGGAACAGAATTCGGGCGGCGACCTCCAAGCTGCAACAGCCAAGGCATCCACGTAAAAGAAACTTTTTCACACAGTTGACAAGAAGCTTGACACGACCAGACTGGCGTTGGAAGACATGTCGATGACCCATTAAGACTGCCTCCGTGAACAAGAGCTTGTAGAGGCGGAGGTGCAACGGCTGCGATCGGACCTCGCGGACCGGGACGCTCAGGTGGATCTTCTGCGTAATCAAGAATCGAACTGGGTCAGCAGTGTCTCTTGGCCGCTCGCGATCGCGACACGATCCGGACTCATTTGGCTCGATTGGCTTCTGGATCACTCTGCCTTCCCTCAAATGAACCGTCCACGGACTTTGCTACCGCACCAACCGGCCAGCGATCTAAGTCCACGGATCCCGGCCTCCCGATCAAGCGTCCCCGCACTGCAATGCTGAAGCAGGCCGAACAGAATCGGTGGATACCTTTAAGGCCAAGTCATCCAGTGAGTCTCCGCTATCTACTGGACCAGTGCGATCTGCCAAATCTTTCGGATCTGATGAAATACCACGCGTCTCAACGCGGTCTCCAGATCAACTCGCTCGGACGGGTCCACAGCGACGTCAGGATCAGCACGGACTTAAACATCTCAAGGCACCGCGGGTAACAAAAGATCTTCCTCCCAAACAGGAACTTCATGGGTCCAGAATTTTCCGGCCAGCGTTTCATCGCTCTCCGATAAAGAGTCGTTCAAATCTTCTAAAGAAGATATTCTGGCCGCCTTGTCTGGATCGCGCTCTTCGTTGTGGCGCCGTGGATCTTTGAGCAATGTTCCACCTTCTGCCGGATTGTACCTGACTCAATTCCAGTGGACTTCCCCCGCCCCAAGCCTAGATCGTCTCCACTTCCGAGTGAATCAGCACCACCTACCAAGCCCCGAGTCTTGAAGGTGAATATATTCGGCGAAGCATCAAACGACTCCGAAGGATCGGTCAGTATGACCGGCAGTCCGCAGGACGCCGATAATGCCGTGCTTACGCCCGCGGAATACAACCGTTTAGCTCCGAAACGGGTACCTCGCGCTGAATGGTTTCCCGGATACCGCGATCGGGTACCCTGGTCTCACTCCCACGTACACCCGTGGTCAGCCCGTCGTCTCAGCATGACCTCCTTGGCGGAGCTGGACTTGGATACCTTGTTCAAGTACCTGACACGGCCGGTAGATTACACTTTCCAGCTCCCACCGCGTCTCGATCTAAATTTACTCCGCCTGAATCTGAGTAGATTCCACGACTGGTTACTTCGGCTCAAGTGTTTGCGTTGTACCAGCAAGAGCCTTGAAATTAATACCATAGCCAAATCACACCGGTCTCGTTTCACGCGACTGGATGGTTCGCAAAGTTGGCATCCGCGTACCGAGAATTCGATACCCGGCATCGACAGGGTCTGTGGGAAGAAATCCACGCCATTAATATGCCGGCCGAGCAGCGCGATCGCGATCCGTGGTTGGCGCGTATTTACCAGCAGCGCAAACACGGCGATCGCGATGCGGACCCCGATGGAAATCGCATTGCGCTTTGTCCTTTAGGGGATGATCGACGGGCACTACGATTTGGACCTGTTCTTGTATCCGTTCTTCATGCATCTCCCGTCACCGGTCGATATGCGTCCATGTTACCCGAGTTTGGGCGATTTTCAGAAACCCATTTTCAACCTGATCTCCGTGTTGGCGCGTTTGGATACCGATGAACCCTGGCGTAACCAGTTTCGATCCTGCATCGAGGATCGTCCCGGGTCGTTGATCGCTCGATTTTCGGGTAAATATTTTTGAAGTAGTCCATAGCGATCTGACAGTCCGTTTTAATCGGTCAATACATATCAATCTTTTCTTCCTTGTTGATCATCACTTGACTTCATCTCATTTGCCTTTTCTAATCACTCAGTGCGATCGGGTTTAATTCCTGGAACGCCACACACAACCCCTCCCTTTTTTC